ATTAAGGGCACTTAAGGCTGGCGTTACCAGTAACGCCTCAATCTTTATGTACATTCAACCCTCTGTAATGGGAGATGGCCGAGGTCCTGGCGAACTCTATATAAGCCACCCCCTCCTCTGGGACAAGGGTTCGCACCCCCTGTAACACACAAACACATACTCATAATCCAGTCGACCGCCTCCGAGAGGGGCCTAAACTCGTAAACACTTGCGTACAACCTTGCTGTAGCTAGGACCTTGCCTCTCCATACGTACCCCTATTCTTACTGTCAGACTTAGAGCATCTCTAGCCGCGCCCCCAACAAGGCCCCCCAAGCAACTTTTCGGCCCCCGGCGCCAAAAAATCGGCCCAGTCACGCCCCCAAGGGCCCAGTTTTTGCCCGCTCGGGCCGAAATTGGTGCCGGCAGACCCAACCAGAAACCGGCGCGCTGGGGGGCGCTCGGGGGCATCGGGCAAATCGTTTTTGGTGCGAAAGAGCCGTGGGCCCTCCTTGCCAGCGACTCGTCTCTCTTCTCGCCGCTTCGTCGTCCTCATCGCCTCGTTTCCCGCGACGAATCAATGCCAAAGCTGCCGCGCGCTGCCGCACCGGTCAGCCTCCATTGATGCCTCACTGGCGGCGCAGTGAAGATCGGACGACGCGCGTCCCCTCGCCCGCCACGCGTACACGCGGCGCGTCCACCTATATAAGCCGCCCCCAGCGCGCCGGAGACACGCACAGAGCCTCCATCGTCGACGCGCCATTTCTCCCCCTTCCTCCCTCTCCTTTCGCCGTCTCCAGTTCAAAGCATGACCGAGTGCTTCCCCGGCGACGGTGCAGCGGCAAACGGCTTCGGCCGCCGTCACCTTCACGAGGACGAAGCTCGGCTCCTCTTCGAGGCCGAGTACCCGGTCCCGCCGGACATGCTGGTGCCCGGGGCGTGGAGAATCAGCGCCGGCGGCGTCCCGGTGCCACCACCACCCACCGGGGCGGCGCGGCGTGCGGAGATCGCGCGTATCCGCGCCTCATTGCTGCGGGCGGCGAGGGAAGGACCGCGGTACGTCCCCGACAGCCCGTTCTGGGAGCCATAGTTCCGCCGCCGCCACGTCAAACAACTCGAGTCCACGAACGGCATCGTGCCCTCCGGAAGGCTCAACCCCGAGGGGCGGCGCCGATGGTGGGGCGTGCCCGGCCGCACGCTGGAGGCCGTCCTCGAGTACATCGAGGGCGGCAACACGCCGAGGCTCGAGTACCCCGCTCCCCCGTCCTTCTCTCGCCGACGTGGGAGTTGCTGGACGCCGAGGCACATGGAGCAGCCCGGGGCGTCCTCCTCCTCGTCCGGTCGCTCGTCCGGCTCTCCCTGCCTCCGCCCCGTCAAGCCGGAACCCCAGGACATGCCTGTCAGCGGGCGCACCCGCAGCTCCGGCGTCCGCATCGGCGACTCCACCCCCCCTCTGGCCGCCTCGTCCTCGTCGCGCCCAAGCCGGAGCCCGGCCTCCCCGCGGAGTACGAGGAGATAGCCCGGCGCGGCTTCTCCGACGAGGAGACCCTAAAGTGGGCGCGGGACGACTACCTCCACGACGAGATGGTCCGGTAGCGCCGGGCCCTGGAGGAGATAGCCGCCCGCAAACGTGGGCGCGAGGACGAGCACGGTGTCGTGATCCTCGACAGCGACGATGACGAGGACGCCCCCGGACCGTCCAACCCGCCGCGCCAACCGGGGGAGGGTTGCAGCAGGGACGGCGGCCGCGGCGGAGGCGGCGGCGACGACGACGACGACGATGGTGGCGACTACACGCGGTTCTACAGCCTCCTCGGCATGTAGAACTGCAAGGGCGGCGGGCGGCGAGGAGCAGCCTAGTAGTTTTTTTTTCTTTCTTGTAAAATATTTTTGAATATGAACGAAGTCGCCGAAGTTTGGTAGAATTTGCACCGTGTTTGTGCCATAATTGAAATTAAAAAAAACGTGGGCGCCGCGACTGGGGGGCATCACGCCCCCAGCGCGCGGTTTAGCGCCGGTGCACCCCCAGGGGGCGATTTTTAGCGCCTCCTGGGGTGCCAACGGCTGGAGATGCTCTTAGTACCACTGACACGTAGTACCCCGGTTTCCATTACCCTGACAGCCTCACTAGTCTCTACACCATTGTGCTTACCACACTAGTCTCTTCAAATACAGCACATGACACTAAAAAATTGGTAGGGTGCACATTGGCTACAAATCGAACATACCCGAAATGTTGGTCATCCAGTTTTCCAAATTGAGATGTTTTTTGAACTAGCTGGATCGAGTTTGGGTGTGTTCGGTTGATGACTAGACCAGCCCTACCTAATGTCGGCCAGAGTTGGCTTGCCAATTGTTGCGAGCGAATCACTCGCCCTGATGTGATCATTTTTTCTTTAGAAAAAACCTGCGAGATGAAAGGATAACCAAATTTGGTAGGGCGGGCCTCAGGCTGCAAGTGGGACAATGCATGGGACTCCCACCTTTAGCCCACTTGATCCCACTACGGTTTGATGGGAAACACGGTCATCCCGTCACGACTTGCGCAAATTATGTGGGCACAAGTGGGATCCCGCTTACTAGCAAACGCGTACAAACACGACCGTCGCAGGCAGCTGAGCCAATAGCTTGCGGGACATAGCGATGGAAGAGGAGATGACTAGAGCAGGACGCACCGACAGCTTGGCGGATACTGCAACGGCGGTCCTCCCATGCCGTCGGTGAGGGCGAGGCGGAAGCCTCGGGACGGTCGTCGCCGGTTCACGGGAGCCGGTTCTGGGCCCTGTCGGAGCTAGGCCATGGAGGACTCGGTCGGCGAGATGAACTGCAAGGTACCTCAGTTGCCTCTGGGATCTGCCGCTATGGCGAGTCACGAACCTAAGACTGAACCCACCCAAGCGGTCGCTGTTGTGTCGCAGCCAGCGAAACCAATCGTCACCTCGGCAGTCAAGATTGCAGTCACGGCACATCGTGCCCGAGCTGCAGGCCACTTCGCCCTGCGCTCCTAGCTGCCGACGATGCACGCCCACTGCATCTGCATGCCCCCCTACAATGTAACGATTCTCTCTTACTGCTGCTCTTGAGAGAGAGACCGACCTGGCGTCCTTCCGACCGCGGCGTGTCAGAGCTGGCAGAAAGAGACGGCGCCTTGGCGTGCACGGCGTCCACCATGGGCTTCCACGCCCCGACCTGCTCCGGCGCCCAAATCCCCGGCATGTCACGACGACGACTCTTTGTCCTGCCGCGCCGGTGCGACGAGAGTGGCCTCAGTGATGAGGAGGCCGCCGGGGGTGGCGCGGTGTGAAGAAGAAGCAGGGCGCGACGGCGGGTTGGCGGCGGCGAGAGCACGACACTGTCATTTCGATGGTTGTCGCTGTCTGGATGGGCTTCCAATGGGAATCCAATGGGAATAAGTGGGCTAACCGATTATTATTGTTATTTTTCAATGGGAGCCCACTAAAGGAAATTAAGTGGGATGGACTAATTAGTCCCACTTCATTCCATCTCCACCTGCAGCCTGAGGCGGGCCAAACTTGTGGGCACAGCGCATCCAAGTAACCGGGCCTGCGTCGCTTGTATGGCTGACAGCGGGTCCCACCAAGCGCCGGGTCCCGACGAAGCTGCGCCGTACTCACTCCCCTCCCTCCCGTCGGCCTCCAAGGTCCACCGCGCACGCCGACCCCGCCGCCCGCGTCCGGACACCGCCAGCGCTCCCGTGTGTCTGTCGGCCTCCTTTCTCCCGCGCCCTCTCCTCCACCCAAGCCTCCGCCACCTCGGCGCGCCACCAACCCGGTGACGGGGACTCGTCTCTCCCTCCCTCTCACACACATCCTGCTTCTTGAACCTTCAGCTTGGCCGACCTGGGCAGAGCAGAGCTGCCGCCGGCCCCGTCTCTCCTCCAGATCCGGGTGAATAAACGGCTGCTCTCCTTGGATCTGAGGGGGGAGAGGGGTGGACACGGCCGAGCCGGCGGTTCCCGCGCTGAGCAGGCGCGTGAGCTGCAGGAGGAAGCGTCGGCCGTCGGCTCGCCCTGCCCGCCCCTCCTGGGAGGAGCTCGACCCCAGCGGCGGTGCAAGGCCACCGCCCACACCGAGGTAAATATGCCACCTCGCTGCCCCTGTTGCCATACGCCACCAAGTACTTCTGTGCCCATGCCTGCAGACTCTGATAGCTTCCATGGTGTGGTGTGGTGTGTGCAGATTTCATTTCATTTCTCTTACCGATGTCATTACAGGGGATGGAAGCCTTTTTTCTTCATGTGCTTAGATATCTAGACTGGATGATAACTGCGAATTAGACAACCTAGTAATATCACCTACATAATCTGGCAATCTGCTAGTTGCAAAACATGGTGACTGACTGACTGCTAAAGAACAATCAGGCAATATCATCTACACAACCTGATAGTTGTTATCTTCTACAGTCTGATAGTTACAACAATATGGTAAATCCTAACAGACCGCCTGGTAATGTCACTCAGCTGATCTGGCAGTGACATAAACAACATATGGTGGTCATTCTTTGCTAAAAAACTTGTAAGTGGGCACAAGACCTTTTGGTATTGGCACCTGATAGCACTTTGATAATAATCTGAGAGCTGACATACTAGCACAGGATAACCATAATTCAGTATTTTTCATGCCGAAAGGGGTCATGTTGAAGGTGGAATGGATCACGAATAACCTTCTATCTAAAATGATAGTTTCAGATCAGCTCTATCATTTTAATTATTTGTGGCACACCAAAAAAATTTCCACACACTGTAGTACTCATGTATTGTTGTGAAAAGTTTCAAGTGTTTATGTTTGATTTATTTGGTCGAAACAAAAGAGAGAATTTTATATGAAGTGAAGATAGTGAGCTAGCGCAGATCTCAACATAGAACTACGCCTAGATGAAAGGGTGTAGGTGCATGGGGTTTCAGAAAATTCCTTCTCTAAAAAATATCTCAGCGCAACTATTTTCCCCACAGGAAAATTGTCTGTTCTGCTTAGTTGAACAAGTACACGCCGAACAAGTAAATGGGAGTTCAGGCAGATCGAAGACCTCCTGGGGGTCTGGATGGCCTCTATGGGGTACAGCTTGCGGGTCGGTCACCATACAGTGATGATGAAGCTATCAAAACAAGCATTATGGATTCGTCAGCTATGGAGCAGCAGGGGGGTGTTGGCATGACTCGAAGTTTGAAGATCAAGTAAGCTTTCGGCTTTCAGTCCCATCATTATGAACACCATCCAGACAATTGTTAGAATGGTGTCTAGTATGAAATAGTTGTGCATCACCTAATGCTTTGTCTTGTAATTGCAGGCAACTCTGGAGACAGAGACCCCCATGCCTGAAGCCTATTCACTGTAGTCTCTCATGTATGGTCAAGTAATCACACAATTCAGACAATCAACATAGTATCTCGTTTGGTAACTTAATTCCTAAAAATAAAATTTTGTTTTGAACCAGGTGATAAAAATGTAGCTGAAACTGTTGCTAATGTCGTCACATCACTTCCTTTCATCTTTCTTGGACTGCAGACACCAAGGCAAGTGCATCTACGAACAACTAGATTGCTTCTTCAAAGGTTGCCTCCTTATTGCATTTTCGATGCATAGCCATTTTTCAACTAACGGTCATGTGCCAGTTCTGCAGAAAGACCTTGAATACTACACTTTATGCTAACTCACTAATTGGAGTTGGAGTCGCATCTAGCTTGTATCATACTTCACGAGGAGAAATCAGAAAATACATGCGGTGGGCAGACTACACAATGATCGCCACTACAACACTGGTAAGTAAGATATGTTTATAGGGTAATGGGTAGTACATCGTAATATATGTTACCTTCATAGATGCATATTAAGCAAGAAGAGCCGTTATTCAATGTAACCAAACTTGATGTGTTCATTCTGCTTAATAAGCTGTTAGGCCATCAGCAGCATCCAGTGTCTTGTAAAATTGTAATCAAATGAACTCCTACTTGAATATTACGAGATCTGTGTGTGATAACCTTCTTTCTGTTAGTATGTTTGCTACATCAGCACTTGTGGCGGCCTGATTTATAGCTTGTACCTTGCTTTTTTTTAAAGCATTATATTATGACTGCAACTTCTATCTGAAGTATTCGATCTTCTTCACACAGTGCCTAACAAGAGCGCTTCGGGATGAACATCCAAGATTACTAATGGCGGCATCAACGTTGCTCCTACCATTCCAGCCCTTGATGGTCACAGCCCTCCACACTGGGATGATGGAGGCAAGTATTTTTTCCAAGCTCTCCTGCCATGTTACTTTCAGAATAATTAATAAACCATCCCAGGGAGGATTTATTTCTTTGGTTCTTAACATATTCATCTATGAGTCTTTCACTCGAAATGACACACAAGAGTTCTCATTCTGCCTCAGGTTTCATTTGCGAAACGAGCATCCACAGAGCCAGAGCTCAAGACGGCACATAACCTGCACAGGATGTCGTCTCTGCTGGGTGGTGCGCTGTTCATCGCCGATGATGTCTTCCCGCAGACCCCCTACATCCATGCTGCATGGCATCTAGCTGCAGCGTTAGGCGTCTGCACATGCAACAAGCTTCTTGAATGACGGGATATTAAGGCTGCCATGTTCTTCCCTCCCCGCTGTTCAGTTATCAACAAAGTGTTGATAGCGATTCATCGACCTGTCAGACATTGATCGCTGCACATTGCATAGGTGGTCGGTTTACATTGAGCTGAAAAGCATTGGAGGATTAGTACACAGGGTATATCACTCTCTCAGAATGAGACGAACTAGGAACCGTTTTGTGTGTGTATTTGTTGTATATGATATATTGTATATTGTAATTGTTTTCCCACAAATACTGTGATTAGATTTAAAGGTATTTTGTACGTACTTATGTTCTTTGTTGTTGTGTATTTTAGTAGAAAATGAAGACAATTTGGTTATTGACATTTTCCTTTCTGTTCATTACCTTAAGTTGATATTTCTCTTCTGTTGCTAACAAGAAAAGAACATATTAGACTAATAAAAGAACATCTCGTTGAAGACCTCCTTCTGTCATTTAGCAACCAGTACTGCTCCCAAGACCAAATTAAGGTTTGCTTTATTCTGTGTTCTTTTCTTGACAATCTGTTTCTGTGTTCTTTTCTTGACAATCTGTAATTTCCCTGGCATAAAAATGAAGCAAATGTGATTATATTCACATAACCTGCTTCTAGAACCAAGCCATGAAGGCTTCCCCTAGAAAAGAGAACGGTTAAAGAAACATACCAAAAAGAAAGCTAGTTTCTCAAGAAAATAAACTGTAACTAATGGTAATGCAACTAGGAATGTTACGTCGAGTTCGACCATGCTACTACTCCCTCCGTTCGGAATTACTTGTCTCGGAAATGGATGTACCTAGAACTAAAATACATCTAGATACATCCATTTCTACGACAAGTAATTCCGAACGGAGGGAGTAGGAACGTACGTGATGTTTTCATTCGTGTTGTCCCAGCGCAACGAACATGGCATGCTGGAACTTTCGTCTTTCTTCCTCGCCGTCCCAAGACGGCGGCGGCGCCGCCAAGGTAAGAGGCGAGAGCAGGCTGGGGCGATAACCCCCGATGATGTTCCACTTGCAGTTCCACGGCGTTGGCGGCAGCTGGAGTCGAAGGTCACATTTCTCCGGACAATCAGCCTCTGGAGACGGCTCCGGCGAGCGTCCTCTCGTGCCGTGCTTGAACAAGACGTCCCCGTGCCTGAAGCAGAGTGTCCCATTGTCGAACCATGCACCCGTCTTCAGGTTAAAGCGACAGGCGTTGTCGACATAGAAGCTGTAGCACAGATCCCACCGCACCTTGTTATCGTCACCCTCAACCCACTGGTCCGGCGGTGGCAGTTGTGACATGACCCAGAACTGGAGCTTCCGGCGAACCGTCATCACGGCGAGGCACAGCCGCCCGCTCATTTCGAAGGCGTTCACCCATGGATCCCAGGCCGGGTAGAACTCCTGGGTCTGGACCGGGAGACGACACGTGCGGTGCGCCTCCATAGCAATGTCAACTACCAGCATCTCGTCAGGGTTCCGGCGATGTTCCGGGAATGTACGGCCGCTGGTCACCAGGTACAGACTGCCGTCAACAAGCACCGGCGGCAAGGTGCGCATCAGGTTGGATTGGGAGTAGAAAGATCGCCGACGCCACCCGTCCCCGCTGCCGCTGCCGCCGCCGCCTAAGGTGCACACGCTCTGGTCGATCTTGTTCCCGAAGGTGGAATTGGACGCCCAGGAGAACCGGAACAACTTGTGCTCCTTGGTGGAAGGGCTGAATCCCAAGGCGTAGTGATGGTACAGGGTGCCTTCCGGGAGCCTCCTCCCCACGGGCGTGGGAACCGTTGCCGTTTCGCCGGTGACTGGGTTACAGATGAACGCCGGCGCCTCGGCGCTGTCGAGCGCGAAGCAGAGGAGGCCGTTGCAGACGTTGGAGAGGCTGTAGCCGCCGGGGATGGTGATGCGGTGCGGCATGGGCTTGGGCGTCGACGAGGAAACGATGGAGAAGATGGCCTCTTCGGGCCTGCCGTGCTCCCGGGTCTCCGTGACGAGCAGGGCCTCCGACGCGGCGGAGACGTGGTTGCCAGTTGCCTCGGCCTCGGCGTGGAGGCTGCTGAAAGTGGGCTCAGCGACGACGCCGCGCCATAGCCTGCAGACGCAGCTGCACCGGGCCACGTCCGTGGTCGGCAGCTTGAGCAGGATCTCCCGGACCAGCTCTGCTGATTCCGGCGGCGGAGCAGGTCCCCTCATCGCCGGTAGATCGAAATCAAGATCGATTGGCTGCGCTGTACGTCGGCGCTGTACCACGAGGAGAAACCAGGCCGGAGGGTGAACGGAAGAAAATAGCTGGGCTGTCTACTAAACTGGGCCGCGTAAGTGGATGCAGCCCGCGCGAGGCTGGTGCTGGGGCACGTACGGAGCGGGGAGCAACAGACCTGCTGGTGTTTAGTACCACATCGGCTAGCGAGTGGTGTTTCTACCAGCTTATAAACTCGCTCGCCGCAGCTGACTCGTCTCTTCGGGGACATCCGATAAAATTGGAACGATACAGAGAAGATTAGCATGGCCCCTGCGCAAGGATGACACGCACAAATCGAGAAATGGTCCAAATTTTTTTAGGATTTCGCGCGCAGGTCCTTTTTCTTCTCAGACGTGCCCCTACAGACTTACTTGCGCACCCTTGAACAAATTCTTTTTAAAATCAACCATATCTTTTTAAAATATCTTCTCAGACGTCAAACAAATTCTTTTTAAAATCAACCATATCTTTTAAACCGCAACACCGATTTGAACATGTTATATATGAAATTTGATTAGAAAAATATGTAAAATATGAATATGAGATTATTTTTACCTGTTAAGTATTTTTATATATTATTTTGGAATATATTTGAGTCAAACCAAATGATTTTCTAAATTATCTGTATCTTTTAAACCGTAACTTCGATTTTAACATATTATATATGAAATTTTATTAGAAAAATGTGTGGAATCTAAATATGATGTTAATTTTACCTGTTAAATATTTTTCAAATATTGTTATGGAAGCAAACTTATAATTTATAGCGCAAGATCCTTTTTTTCATACCGGCGGCGATCCGGATTGCAAATAAATACCCGACTATAACCATATACGGAAAAGAAAACATCGATAACTATACGTGCATACCTCTGAAAAATGTCGCAATGGAAAACAACACATTTCTCATCGCGAGAGTGAGAGAAAGCGAGTGAGAGAGAGAGAGGGGGAGAGAGAGAGAGAGGGAGAGGGAGGAGAGAGGGGAGAGAGACGCCTTCGGATTAACCATATTTAACACACGTTTTGTTTTGTTTTGTGTGAACACCGAGGCCATCACCAGCGAGGGTGAGAAGGAGGATAAGCGGCAACACAAATATGATGCATCGCAAAAATAAAGGAGATGGACCTATTGTGGTCTTGAGTGATGGTTGTTGAGTTAAGAGTGTGTGTTATGTTTTCTCTCCCGTTGCAACACACGGGCTCTTTTGCTAGTCTATATAACAAAGCATATGTATGGATCACTTTTGTGCTTCTAACTTTGATTTTCTGACCATTCATGTTAGTTATTTTTTTAAAATTATCATTCATGTGACGGGCAGAGTAGCTACGTTGCCTGCGTACGTACGTGGAACAAGCGGCCGGCCTGCATAGCAAAATCATTAGCGTTCAGTCAATTATCCGGTATTCCTGGTCTTCATAGTACGACTACTTTGATTGAATTTACGCATGAAGAACTGGCCTGCATAGCAAGTATCTTATTGAGATCTGTACTCACCTTTAAGCATATATTGTATTGCACATGAAGAACCGGCTGACAAAGGAATGGTTTAAGTTGGCCATCCGTTAGTCCTTGGATAGAACCTCACCTGCATAATGCATGTCTTTATCCAACAGGTCAAGAGTCAACAATCAAAACTACAAGTTCCTTTTTGATAATCATACTTCACGCGATCGTTCTGCTGGCAACAAATGTCAGGCTGCGGCAAGCACCGTCGAGCAAAACTATTAACTGCAACACGACAGAAATGATACTTCTACACCTACCAAACACGGCCCTCTAATTAAACTTGAGAAAAACAGATCAAGAGAGCAACTGTCCAAAAAATATCACTGCTGCCCCGGTGCGCTCTAAGGAATCAGCTCATGAGGCCATATGGGCGTAAAGCATGTTTCTGAAGATTATAAAGCCACCCAAAATTTCTAAGATACCACGAGAATGGATTGGACATCAACATAAATTAAGTGCTTGATGATGTTAATCATTGGGCATCAAACTTGGACTTTCCTAGTCGTGTACAGCAAAGGCAACTATACACGTGGTTAACATCTACTCCCTCCGTCCGGAAATATTTGTCATCAAAATGAATAAAAGGGGATGTATCTAGATGTATATTAGTTCTTGATACATTCACTTTTATTTATTTTGATGACAAGTATTTTCGGACGGAGAGAGTAATTCGATTGTTCTATATTTAAGTAGATGGTCCTGGCCATCTGATCTGAAATACAGGGGCGGAGCTACGGCTGGGCCAAACCAGGCCATGGCCCGCCCAGCCCAGCAGGAATCCAGTGAAGACTAGTGCTAAATCTGGGCCCTGAAAGCAAAATTTGAATGGTATTTCCTAATCAGGCCTATTTTGGCCCTCCCATAGAAGTGGCTGAAGCTCCGCCACTGCTGACATATATACATATTTCTTTCATACATATGCCTCATGACATTACAAATACTCAAGCTTCTTAAATTAACCAAAATCACATCAACACTAAAGGCAACATCGCGTGTAAACCTCTTGATGGCCACGTCCATCGGTCGCTCCATCTTGGAAGCGGCGGCGGGGAGCGTGCACCTGTACACAGTGCCAAAACCGCCTCGGCCGAGCTTCATGTCCTCATGGAAGTTGCGGGTGGCCTTGTTGATGTCAGCGAAGTCAATCTTCAATGGGACCCCTGGGAGTCGCTCCATAGACTTGGCGATCTGGTCCAGGTCCTTGTGCCACCGCCGGTACCTCGAGTTCAAGTAGCACGCAACGGCGGCGGCCATCCCGGCGGCGG